TATTTTGATGAAATTATAGAGCATGGAAACATCTTTTTTCTAAGATTTTAAGTGCATATAAATCCGGTCTCTAGTTATAATCAATGATATTATATTAATACAATTATTTTTCTTTCAAGTGCTGGGATTAGTCCAATGCGTTTTTTATTGATGTATACCATGCAGGTCATACATTGCATCATAGTCGTACACTAACCTAACCTAACCTATGAATAGTTTTATCATTAATTTTATTATTATTCAAATTACAAGAGTTATTAGAATAAATATTTAACGTGCACTAAAATATTTCACGGGAAGTGAAGTGTTTACGTGATCTCTTAGTGTATTTGCAGTGTTTGTGACAAGCAAAAATAAATGGAAAAAAAATTTATATTGTTCCGCAAACAACACTTGGACAAAAAATGTTAACAAATTTTCAAAAGAGTAGGGAAAAAATGAATGAAAATAAGGCATATCATATAACGGCGCAGTGACGCGAAATTCTTCGAACGCTTCTCAACTTAAGGCGATAAAATAAGGAAATGATAAATGGCCTATTAAGCCGTGCCGTATTGAGTAAAAAAATGTACTAAAATGCAATGAAATTATGGCTCTTAGTCTCTTAGTAGTCCACCATTAATAATAAAAATATCTGTATATATAATTTTTTTTTCTAAAAAAAAAAAAAAACATGGTTTATATAATATAGAGGTGCAGTGTGGCAGTGGAGTGTATGAAATTATTTATGAAAAATAAAGGTAGAGCAGCAAAAAGTTTAATTTAAACTTTTATGACACACTCGGTGGGCGCCCACAAATTTGAAGTAAAAACCTATTTGGCAAAATCGCAAACATAAAAGGTACTTATCGTTCATTTGATGTGTACATTATAGTTGACGGCGGCGGTCGGGCAAAACAAATAGCTTATCATTTATAACATTCTAAAAACTTTAGAAAAAATAAAAATAATAATTTATAATATTTCGTAACTCGACACACTTTATCCGACCCTTGCTGTCAATTTTTTCGTAAAATAATATTGCGTACAAAATTCAAGTTGTTCTACTTATACCAATAACCAATCATAAGACATTATTCTACCAATCCACATGAAATTCCAGATCGCCATTAGAGTTAAACGTTCAAAGTTATTCCATACTACTAGGACCTACCTACTGTACTAATCAACGAGAAAGAGTCTACTCAGAATCGATGCCATAACTAAGTGCCCGCAACCCACATGATAAAACATATTTCAAGACTTGAAATCTTGTTTACCAAAACCGAAAATGTAATACGTCTCTATGATAAAGGTCCTGGAAAAATATATACTGGGAGGGCACGAAATCCATTGTTATTAATTAGAACATTGATAGTAAGCATGGCGTAACATCGTTACAGAGTGGTCCGTAAACTAGTCTGAGACTTCAATATTATTAATAAACGTGGTCATTTTTTTTATTGAAAATTTAATATGAATAATTAAATTACGTTAAATTACCTAAGAAGTAGATAGCAAAATCAGTCTATATCTTAAACCTCATCAATTACTTGACTATCATTTGGAATTTCAAAGTGACACGAAAACGATTTCTACTAGCCAATTATAAAAACTTTATTCATCCAGAAGTATCGTACCAGAACCATATATATATATACTCGTATATACGTTAATTTGTTTTTATTTATTTGGTCGAAAACCGAAAAAAAATATTTTCGTATTACAATATCTCATTTAAAATTCCATTTTGAACTATTTATACTGCCATATAAAGTGCACACCAAAATAAAAAAATTCTTACCATTAACATCCGATTTATTATTCTCGAATGTCAGAGCATTGAATTATAATATTGTAATTAAATGTGCCATTCTGTATACTATTGTAAGTTCTGGTCAAAAGTGTAATAATCAGAAAAAAATCACTTTTCACAATAAACTGGAATTGATAATACAATAGGACAATAGGACCTGAAAAAAACTAATAATGTGTCACGATTGCATTAATTATTTACAAGTTTATACTCTCATTTATCAACAACCACATTATTCTTTCTTCCATTGGAAGAATTACCATTCTTACCGTCTTACAATTACCCATCATGTTCCTAATAAGCACAATTTTGTTATAGTTGAGTGATGCTACAACATAAAATCGTGTATCGTACATAACAAAAACATATAATCATCAACAAACATAGATGGGTTTATTAAAATTCGTCATTTCCCTATGAATAAAGGTACTTAATAAAGGTACTATCGATCATTGTCACGCGCATTACCCGTGTACTCGTATATTATATTACATCTATTAGGTATTTATGTATTGGTTGCCCGTATAGATTCACTAAGATTTTGAATAATAATAATTAATTCTATAGTATGATATATACATGAAATCGGATATTTTTTAACCGCATATAGATCGGGTACGCAAAAATACCGTAAATTGATTACCTGATACGATATACATGCATACGCCGCATTAAATAATATGTTTACCATTGAAAATGTCTAGTAAAATATTGTTGGAATCTTACTGCCGTACAATTTAGCGTAACAATAATTTACAACGATATCGTGGAGACGTTAAAGATGTGCAAATATTAGGGATGCACGCGAATTGGCTAATATTCAAAGATAGAATAGTAAATGAAAACGATTAACATTCGATTTAGTTAAGAAGTTTAGCCAACACAACTCCTTTAAGCAATGACTAATAGATTAAAAATAATTAGCAGCTGCTGTTATTGTAACTTACAACATTAATATTAGATTTCTGTTTCAAACATGGAAAAATTAAATTAAATTCTTATTTTTTAAATTAACTTGATCAATTATGAGTATGTAGGCTAGTTCAGTTATTAAGTCCATAATTAAATAACAGCTTAAGTTTAAGGACTTAAGGACGAATTCATTTTCGACTTTTCGAATTTTCGACCATAGTTGAGAATATTTCTTTTTAGTAAATTACAGTACCAAGTGTGTCTTAAAATTAAATTTGTATGAATTATTCGTTTATATGGTTTATTCAATATACGATTAATGGTAATAAGTTGTCCAACATCCAACACTTTTGATTTCGACGTAAATGTAAGTTCAATTGGATATCCATAGAGTTGGATTCGAAATTTAAAACATTAAACCGTTGACTAAGGGATAATATGCCACCATCTAGATTAATATTATTATGCCGTATAAAAACTATATCGATATTACGTGCAGGGAAGAGGGAACGACAACATAGCTTATATTTGGACGGTATCCGGTTAAAAAGAAACAATTATATTTAACGGTTTTTTTTTTATATATACTGCATGTTATTCTATTACACATATGAGTATAATTAACGTCTATTGACATTAAAAACAAAAATAATTGCAGGTTCACTTTACACGAAACCTACGTGAAAAAATAATAAGCCATCGGCCATATTATTTCAACATCCTAGTTCAGTTATATTCCTAAGTTTTAACACATTTTTTTATCATGGCGTCTTATTCATATAATATAATACTCATAATATTATTATAATTTATGTTGTTTAAAAGGGTATAGATAAAAAAAAATGATTTTCAAAGTTGAACATTTAATAAATTATTCATGTGCAAATAGACTTAAATTAAATACAGCCTAATAGGAATAAGTCACTAATTGCCCATATTATATAAGTTTGAAATTAATCAAATAATTAAAGTTTAAACTTATACTTAAAGAAACAAGAACCGATTGAAGAACAAATATCAAACATTTTCATATATACGAGTAGTATTAAATTTTGAGTATCGTAGACGGTTTTTTATTTTTATAAAAATAGTGTTTTTGTACTTTGTTTTTTTTGTCCATGCACCGTCTATTTGAACACGCCATACGCGATCGGGTACACTCATAGATGGACATCAGAGGAGGCTTAGCCCCCCAAATCGAAACTTTGTTAGAAATGTCTTTCGTTGTTTTTATAATTATCTATTGGTTTTTTTGAAAATCGTAAAATAAGAAATAATAAAAAACTATTTACAATAGCATTAACAATACCAATTAGTTCGGCTACTTACGAAAGAAGTTTCAGCAATGAAAAAAAATAAAACTTGGCTAAGGTTCAGTGATCTTTCAATACTATATATTGAAAATAATATATCGAAAAACATAAAAAACGATGATATTTTGAATATCTTTGCTGATACAAATAGATATTTGTCATTAAAATAAAATATTAGTTATTTTTAAATATAGTGTTTTTTTTTAATACAATTTAAACATATCTATATTTTTAATAGTAATAAGTCTTAGTTGTGCATGAGAAGGGGGTGTGGGGGCAAAGCCCCCACGGTTTTTTTTTATATTGAATTATTATAGCCCCCCTTCCAAAAAAAAATTCAACCAAATGTCCGCCTATGAGTACACTGCGTTAACTCCGGGACCGAGGGTATAAAATCGAAAATGTAATGTAAAATATATTTTAAAAACACCAAGAGTTCATAGTCGTCTTAAAAATATAAAGAGGGCGTAGAATAATTTGTAGTAATTTTTAGCTGTGACAGAAACTGGTTCGATTTTTTGGGTTTTATGCCTATGTTTTTCATATCCAAGGAAAATTGAAAGATCTGGACGGTTTTTTACAGGAATGTTTAGTACATGTTCTGTTTGAATACAGTACGCCCAGATGGATTCTACCTTTGATTTGTATATTATTGGTAATCCGTGACTAATCCAAGGTTCGGATTTTATAACTTGGCGATGTTCGACATTTAGGACCTTTCGTTTAAGCCGTGAAGGTGAATTCCGGGTGAGACGTTTATCTAAATTTAAGCATGAACTTATTAGGGTCGTTATGTCGGTGCGTTCGGACGACTCGAAAATTTTCGTGCGATAAGGATTTGTCCTGCCAATTATCGTTTTGCGATGGTTTTGGAACGCAACGGGAAGAAACTACCATGCCGGTGGCATCAGCACCGATAGCTGAAGTCGACCGAATGACGTTGCGGAGGACCAGCGATAACCCTACTCGTGTGTACTCACATGGTCGGGTTGAGGTGCACCATGTTGGAGAAGTCCGACACGTATTCCCAAACGCGTCGCGAGCTCGCGTGCTCCATGTCGCTGCCGGTGTACCGGATACTGTTCTCGCGCTTGGCCGTCAGTAACAGTACCGCCAACACGGTCATCATGCCGATCAACGTTAACGCGCGCCGGTGACGGTAGGCCTTCAGTTTCGCGCACTAAAATGGAAAATCGGACGATTTGTTTGTGAAGTCGTCGGTTACCGATAGCGGAACGGAAATAGAAATAGGAATCGCAAAAAAAGATGGGCTGGGGAGGGGAGTAAGTGAGGTGGATATCGACATACCTTCACGTATCGTTCGGATCCGGAAAACTTCATGGTGATGGTGATGAAGTACTGAAGTCTTGAAAGGTCTCTGAAGTCCTAGGCGGTCACGCGTTGCTGGACGGAAAAAACGGACGCAGCAACAAACGACGTGGTTATGATTCGTACGCATGCTTTATTGGACACGGCGAGCACAATATGAGACGATACGGTACGAGTGCGGTGTATACACGATAATGCATGCGTTCGGAATAACAATTTCGTTTTAGATAATGTATTCCGGTCGACTGACGATGCCGGAATCGAACAGATATAATGTTATTACTATTATCGTTATCACGGCTGTTGCGCGATCATTACGCGTTCACAAATAAATGAATAAAATATCGTTTACGTTTAGTCGTTTTGAGCGTTTTTTTCAAGTGGTTACGTAATATTGTTTTATTTTGGTCTCGCAATCCGATCACAATCCGATCGGCTATTTTTTATTTTTTTTTTTTGTCTTTTATTGTGATATCTACGAACAATAGCGTCCGTCCAAGTTTAACAACATTATCATAACTTAATAGGTCAATAACATCATCTGCTTTTTCATCTGCTTTGGGGAAAGAAAAAAAGATTTCAAACGAAAACTTATGGGCTCGCGTACATTTGTCGATGATTAAAACATTCTTGATTGTATTATAAAATGAAAATAAAAATATCTCAATGATTTACCAAGGCAAAAATTCAAATACATTATTATTATTATGATACGAGTTTGTCCTAAGAAAATATTTTTAACGGAGAACGTATACCGCAAGTGTACGGAAGAAACAAATATTTAAACATCAAATAATACCGCGTAAGACATTAAGATCAAAGTACATGAATAAAATATATATTTTTAATTTTTTTTTTTATTGTAAACCAGTGTATTTATTTCCAAAGAAAACGTCCACCGTATAGCATTTAAATTCATTCGAATATCATTCAATATTTTACTCGTATAACCGTTTTATTTTTTATTTGCATTCATCTACCAATAATGGCGATTGTAATGTTGTGTATAACATTATAGTTGTGTGTTACATTAATAATACTAAATTGTAATTAAATCAGTAAAGTCGGTGTTCATGATGAAATGAATCATAATGGAGGAGCTAGAATATGAATTTAAGAGGAGATTGAAAACATCTTACAATGGTACACATTTCAGTACAACTTTTTCTACAAGTCTAATTATAATTATTTGACCGAGAAAGTTATTTCTTGGAAATTTACTTCAGTACATTTTTAACAAAGTGGATAATAGATTTGGTAACTTTAAATTATAACTACCATAAATTCTTCTTTTTTTGTTATACTTTAGTTATGTCTTTAGTTATGTCAATAACTTACTAGTTAGATGGTTGAAATTTTTTATTTGGTTTCATAGTATAAATGCATGAGTTCTGCAGATTACCTCAAACATTTTTGTACAATAGATTCTGTTGCATATGTATAAATATAGCAGCGATAATTTAATTAATTTAGTATTAAAATTGATTAATTATAACAGAGTTGAGATACCTTTAATGAGTTTAGTCTTTCATGACGGTGACTTACTAATATCAAAATCATTCACTTTACAATTTTAATGCAGTTTTCATCCTGATTATTATTTTTATTTATTTAATGCCAAATGGAAATTGCATGTGGTATTGTCAATTATTAATACATTTACATTTTATATGTAACAAAATATAAATTATTTATTTGTAATAACAAAAATAATTATATGTTTAGATTTAATCAGATTTAATCAGAAATGGAATATAATTTAAGATACATGTTTATATCATTGGCAAAGAGGACTTTAAGTGGAAGAGATAGATACTTATGGAATTTATGGATATAACGAATAAGAGTTGATTGAGATGACTCCTTAGAGAGTTGAGAGAATAATTTACGAGTCTGGGTTGAGAGGACCACCACGAACTTTGACATACTGAATTCTCGAGCACAAGTAGAACCGGAGCCAGGAAAGCAGTGGGTTTCTGATACCAAGTCTTTCAAATTCTGAAATAAGAAGAAATTATCTACCGTGTTAAAAGGTTTTTTTGAAGTCAGTGAACATTGCATCAACTTGGAAATAGGATTCGAAGCTTTCTAAAATGTATATAGTAAAAACAAGGCTGCTAGTAATATTTGATTTCCCTGATATCTAAATCTGTGATGATCATCAGTTATTATGTGGTTTAGGGATCCTTTAATATATAAGTATAATATTAATTTAAATACCTTAAAAATATGAAGAAGAATAGATATAGGCCTTAAGTTAAAGACAAGGGAGGGATATCCCGATTTCAGAACCGGCGTGACTGAACAAGTTTTCAATACAGTTGGAAAGATTCCCTCATAAAATGATCGTCTGAAGAGCGAGAATAATGGTAAGACAATAGCGTAACGGCATTTGAAAATAAAGCACGCAGAAATATCATCAGAGTTGTCAGAGATATTATTTCGTATGAAGTACAGTCTTTAATTTATTAATTTTTAAGTGAAATAGATAATTTAATTATTTATATTTCTCATTGTTAACTGTTGTCATTTTAGCGGTCACATTTATACGGTTTTGTGATGTAAAATAAATGCAGAAACATGGCTACGCTAAGACGTGTTATTGTACCAAACCCCGTATAGTTCTGAATGAAAACCGTACGATCGCAATCGTACGTCAGTTAATGTTTCGTCTCCGCGGCGGTAAGATATATGACGAAAATCCACATCTGCAGACATATATAATAAACTCCAAATTTAACCCAACACCTGTGGGTTGATGTAACAATCTTGTAACCATCGGGATGATGGGATACCCGTATGACAGTGAGTTAGAACATATATATATACTTTTGTAAGTAATTAACAGTATGTTTTATAGCGTTTTTATAGGAGTCCAACGGTGGATACGGAGATAGGGCCGGATTTACTTAAAAGGCGCCTCTAGGCTAGTAAAAAACAAACGCCGCTACTCTTTGGAACATAATTTATTCAATAAGATCTGAGAGTCCCTCTCCTTATTAATTTACCAATTTTATGTATATACAAAAATATATAGTGGATTAAATTAAATTTTTTTTTCAGTCAACCTAAAAAATTATGCCTTATATTTTTGTTAAGTAAGATACTAGACCAGAAGAGCAAAAAAAATACATTTTATTGTGATGACAGAAAAAAAATTATTCTTGATATATTTTATTAAAAAAAAATAATTAATGCATTTTTTTCATCCATAATACTTATTAATTAATAATATTTATATTTAGCACTTTCTTTACTTAGATGCTGCAAACATATTTATTAAGTAATTGAAATTCATAGATTCTAGTAATTCTGAATTCGCATTAAATGGCGACAAATTAGATACCGTTGTATCTGAAATGGAACTACGTAGATAATTTTTAATTCTCTTTAAAATAATAAATGATCTTTCATCAGTTGTATTTGATGGAATAATGGTTAGATACATTTTCAAAGCAGTGTCTAAATTTAAACGTTGCAATAGTTTTTTTTTCTCTTCAAATTTTTAAAAATTTGCCAAAAGATTTTTTATCTGACTCCTCTATTTCAATCTCATGTAAAAATTGCTTGAAATGCAAACATTCCTCATAGAGCTCATCTTCTAGGTAATTGGAATATTTTTCAACTAATCTTTTATTTTTTTATTTTAATATTTTCGGGCATATAAATAGCAAGTCTGAATACAAATTAAATAGACTATCAAGTTTAGTGTAAGCTTTTGATCTTTCTGATAATTCTAGGACCAATTTGTTAATTATCACGAAAAATGTATTTATTTTCACAACTTCTGTTCCTTCTAAAATTACTTCATTTTTTTCATTTTTTTTTTTTTTTTCATTTTCGGCGTTAACTGTGTTTAGATGTGAGGACATTGGCATACTGTCTAAACTTATTCCGAATTCGTCGTTTGTCTGCGTTTGGAAACCTTCGCTGGTGTAAACTGTGAACGCACACAATTTATTTTATATATCCGATCGGACCAAATGTTGACGAAAACCAAAATATCAACAAATCATGTCTAAACTGATAACGAATTCCTTTGTATACCACTCCCCGAGAGAAGGCAACCGAAGGCACATTCGCCGTCGTCGTTCGTTCGATCGCGCTGTCTACACCTAGACCAACATCACCGAATAAGGTCGTCACATGTGTCTTCGGTACTCTTGGTTAAGCCTGTGCCGATATATCGATTAATCGATATAAATAAGAAATAAATATACATCGATTAATCGGGTATATCGATATAATCGGAAATATCGATACAATCGATATTTGATAAATTGATATCAGTGATAACTGATAGCTATTTTTTTTTAATAGACTACACTACTACAGTAATAATAGTAACTTTTAGCGACGAAGTTATGCCCCACATGGCACACACATACACTATGCATACACGTATTTCACCCTACCGTATGTTCAAATTCTACAGCATCCAACCCCCCCCCACGTCCAAATACCCAATAGCCTAAGGTGCAGTGGGTTAAAAAAAATGATGGGTTATCCGATAGTATCGATAGTATCGATTATTTCAATCCAATAATTGACTATTGTACATGGCGAATAAAATAATTTCGTAAAAACTAAGAATATATATTTTGTCTTTAAAATTTATAGATTAATCGAAATAATCGATTTTTTTTTTGACACTATCGACTATCGAGCCTAATGAATGACTATCGCGCAGGCCTACCTTTGGTCGTCTAGTCTGGACGCGGCTTAATGTTCAATAATATTAAATATAAATGTATAAACGTCCAATTTTCCATTAGTGGCTCTTGGTTATTTGACACTAATGAGTGTAAAGCCCGATTCACACTGGTACGACACGTCACGACAAGACACGATAAAATATTGTAATACGTATTTCTATTATGATATTTACACTGACACGACCGACACTGCACCAGCACTCACCAACCGACCGAATATTCTCAATAAGAATGTTTTGTCGGTCTGTCGGTGACTATCTGTGCCGGTTCGTTCATTGTCGGTTCAATGTAAATAGACAACCGAAAAATGTCTATTGGGATTCTGTCAAAAAATGTAATTTGTTGAATCAAACATTATTTTATGCAACTAAAATATAAATTATCAATAAAATAAAAATATTAATATTAATATTATTATTGAACATTTTTAGGTATTTAAAACTACATATTAATTTAAAATTATTTTATTTTTACTATCTAATA